TATCTAGAGGCTTATAGTGGGTGTGGCCAGAGAGCCCTTTCAGTTCTCCAGGGTTAAAGGCGTGCCTAACGTGACACACACATGTTTTTCATGGCAAATCTTCTCTCTCTCTCTTTTTTTAATCAGAAGGGAAATTTATTATGCTCAACGGAGCTACTTTCCTCAATGCAGGCCAGTGCCTGAACACTAGCCCCAGTGGATATAATATTTATCTGCTCTGTCCCAAGGACCACACAAAGGATCTGTGCAGTCCTCAGTGTAAGTTCAGTTTTCCCAGCATTGTCTCTCACTAGGTAATCAGGAACCCCCAAACTTGTGGAGTCTCCCACTGAGACTGCTCAAAATCCTAGCCACAGGTTGGCACCATAGCACACTTGGTTAATCCTCTGCCTGTGGCGCCAGCATCCCATTTGAGCACTGGGTTCTAGTTCCAGTTGCTCCTCTTCCAGTCCAGCTCTCTGCTGTGGCCCAGGAAGGCAGTGGAGGATGGCCCAGGTGCTTAGGCCCCTGCACCTGCATGGGAGACCAGGAAGAGGCACCTGGCTCCTGGCTTTGGATCGGTGTAGTTCCGGCCATTGCGGCCAACTGGGGAGTGAATCAGTGGTTGAAAGACTACCCCCCCACCTCTCTCTCTCTGCCTCTACCTGTCAAATAAATTAAATTAAAAAAAAAAAATCCAGGCCACTAAATCTTAAAAAAAAAAGCAGTCTTCCCCTACACCCCTCAGTTTTTTTTCACAGTCCTGATGCAGAAGCCTCACACAGTCACAAGCTCCTAGCCACCAGTTAGTTTTCCCCACCAGAGTCAGGAGTCCACTCTGCTGGTTGCTGTTATGGTCACAGACGTGAGCTGGCTGGCGCAGCTGTTATGTATGTCCAAAATGACACCCGATCTGTTGGCTTGTTACAGGACACCATTGTAAAGTGATTGGGGAGAGAGAATGTGTCCATCCAGTACCTTTTTTCCTCCTCTAGTTTGGCTGGCACACTATCCCCCATGGGGCTTCAAGCCAGGTTCCCTCTCGACTCTTCCTGCAGCTTGGCCTGCTGGGGTCTGGTCTCACCTCACTTTCCAACACTGGTGCATAGGCTCTCAGCTGCTGGAGTCCTGAGCTGTGGGTGCCCACGCCCTCCATGTGGGTCCACCGTGTCCCTCCAATTTTGGTAGAGTTTCCTCTGCCATTTTCTCCCTAACTCTTGCCTGAGACTACACTCTCTCCACTTTTTAAACTATCTTCTCCTGGGCTAGAGCAGTAACCTCCCTCTCTACTCCGCCATCTTGGAACCTAAACTTGGCTCTTTCCACTGTTTTGGCTGCATCTCTTGAGTTTTGATTTGTTATGCTTTTATTTCCATTGATTTCAAGGAATTTTCTTATTTCTCCCTAGGTTTTTTTTTTTCTATGACTTCTGTTTATTCAGGAGAGTGCTGTTCAGTCTCTATGAATTTGCATGATTTCTAGAATTTCTTTTACTTATTTCCAGTTGCACCCCATTGTGGTCTGAAAAGACACATGTATGATTTTGATTCTGTGAATTTGTTGAGACTTGTTTCATGGCCTAGCATGGAGTCTGTCGTAGAGACTGTTCCATGCGCTGATGAACAGAATGTGTGTTCTGCAGCTGTGGGATGGAAATGTTCTGTAGCACTGCCCGTGCGTTTTGTAGAGTACAGTAGCGCTGTTGTTTCTTTGTTGACCTTTCATCTGGGCAATCTGACCATTGAGCAGAGCAGGGCTTGAAGTCCCTCAGTACTGCTGTATTTGAGCTTGTCTCTCTTTAGATCCATTAACATTTGTTGTATGGGGCGGGCACTTTGGCATGGCTGGCTAAGCTGTCACGCTGGCATCCTATATGGGCAGCAGTTCTAGTCCTTGCAGTTCCACTTCCCATCCAGCTTCCTGCTAAAGCACCTGGGAAAGCAGCAGAAGATGGCCTAAGTGCTTGGGCCCCTGCACCCATGTGGGAGGCTCAGATAAAGCCTGGCTTTTGCCTGGCCCAGCCCTTGTGGCCATTTGGGCAGTGAGCCAGCAGATGGAAGATCCCTCCCTCCCTCCCTCCCTCCCTCCCTCTCTCTCTGTGTGTGTGTGTGTTTAACTCTGACTTTCTAAAAATAAATCAATCAAAAATTGCTTTACAAAACTGGGAGTCCCTAGCTTTAGTTGCGTATATATTTATAGTAGTCACATCTTCTTGAATTCATCCGTTGGTCATTATGTAGTGATCTTCTTTGTCTCTCTTAATGGTTTTTATCTTAAAGTTGATTTTGTCTGATGAGAGTTTAGTTACTCCTCACTTTTTATTTCCACTTGCTTGGAATATCTTCTTCCATTTGTTCACTTTCAGTCTGTGTTTATCTTTATAGAGGAAGTGTGTTTCTTATAGGCAGCACATAATTTTTTTTTTTGTCAATCCTTTCAGCCAGTCTGTATTTTTTAATTGGGGAATTTGGTCCATCTATGTTCAAGATTATTATTGATAAGTAATTACTTGGTCCTACCATTTTTCCATAAAGATTCTTATTTTTTTTAATCTTTTTTTTCTGAAAGATTTTCTACCTTCTTATTCTTTCATGATGCTGATTGCCTATCTCTGTTTGTCTGTATAGTACATCTTTGATATTGTTTATAAGGCTGGCTAGGGAGTGATGAATTCTTTGCATTTTTGCTTGTCTGGGAAGGTCTTTATTTCATTTTGATTTATAAGTGAGGGCTTTGCTGGGTAAAATATTCCGGTTGGCAGTTTTTTCTTTTGAACTTGGATTGTATCTCTCTGTTCTCTCCTGGCCTATAGAGTTTCTTGGAAAAATCTACCACCAGTGTGATGGGAAGTTGCTTTAGAAGTGACTTGGGGGCCGGCGCCATGGCTCACTTGGCTAATCCTCCGCCTGTGGTGCTGGCACCCCGGGTTCTAGTCCCGGTTGCTCCTCTTCCAGTCCAGCTCTCTGCTGTGGCCCAGAAGGGCAGCGGAGGATGGCCCAGGTGCTTGGGTCCCTGCACCTGCATGGGAGACTGGAAGGAAGCACCCGATCCTGGCTTCAGATCAGCACAGCACCGGCCCTAGCAACCATTAGGGGAATGAACCAATGGAAGGAAGACCTTTCTGTCTCTGTCTCTCTCTCACTGTCTAACTTTATCTGTCAAATAAAAAAAAAAGTGGTAACTTGGAATTTCTGTATTACAAGTTTTAGGTCTTCACTGTATGTTTTACTTTTATATTTTGTCTGTAATGTGTTACGGTGAGGATCTTTTCTGATCATTCCTATTTGGGGTTCTATGAGCTTCCTGTAGTTGGATATCCACATCTTTGTCCAAGTTGGGACAGTTTTCTGTTATTTAATAGTTTTTTTTTCTTTTTTACTGTTACATTTTAAAAGACCTATTGTCCACATCAGATATTTTTTCTTCTTCCTCAACTTGTCTGTTATGGCTTTCCACTGGATTTTATAGTTAACTTAGTGGGTACTTAATTATATTTCCATTTGGTTTTTCATCTCTGCCTTAGCTGAAGTTTTCATCCATGTCATGTACTGATTCCCTAACTACACTGAACTGTTTGTCTGCACTCCATCGCATTTCTATGAGTAACCTTACAGTCACTCTTGTTAATTTTTTTAAAGATTTATTTATTTGAAAGAGTTACACAGAGAGAGGAGAGGCAGAGAGAGAGGTCTCCCATCCACTGGTTCACTCCCCAATTGGCTGCAATGGCCGGAGCTGTGCTGATCTGAAGCCAGGAGCCAGGTGCTTCCTCCAGGTCTCCCATGCGGGTGCAGGGGCCCAAGGACTTGGGCCATCCTCCACTGCTTTCCCAGGCCGTAGCAGAGAGCTGGATTGGAAGAAGAGCAGCCGGGACTAGAACTGGCACCCATATGGGATGCTGGTGCTTCAGCCCAGGGCGGTAACCCGCTGCACCACAGCGCCGGCCCCCTTTTGAATTCTGATTGTGGCATTCTGTCCGTCGCCCTTTCTTCACATTCCAGTATCAATGCACTCTTGAGCCCTTTTGGGGGAGTCCATACCTTGTCTGCTCAGTTCTTGCATTCTGATGTGGATTTTCATGCATCTAGGGGATCCCTTGTTTCTGTCAATTCGAGAGGATGGGCCTGGGCAGAGTGCCAAAACGTGGCTGGCAATCCAGACAAGCTGTGGCATCATACTGTGCCTTAGGCACAGCACAGGGAGCCCAGTTCCAAGTCCCAGTGAGCAGAGTGTGGCTGGATTAGGTGGAGAGTTCTAGGGCATGTGCTGGGTGGGGCCGGGGAGCTCAGCCATTGCTGTGGGAGGGGCAGGTGTCCTGTGGGGTTAGTGAAGCTCCTATGGGGGCTGTCAGCGAGGGGATGGGTGTATTGGGGCCACCTGGTGTGTTCAGACTCCCAGGCTTTCACTGCACCAAAGGGAGCCAGCTGATTGCCTGCAAGAGCCAGCACCCAGTGCCAGTGCACTCCACAGCACCCCCTCCAGCCCCACTGGGAGGTCTGTCCCCAGCACGCAGGGAGCCGCTCTGCACTTGGAGTGGAGGAGGAGGGGACCGCTGCCCCCAGTTCAGTGTTGGAAGCGGGGAGCACCACCGGGCATTCCGCGGACTGGAGCTCCCAAGGCGCCTCCAGCTGAGGCCTGGAGCTTAAGGAATGCACCGCCTGCAGCCACAGCCCAAGTGCCAGCCCGACAGGTGTGCTAATACGTGTTAATTTGAAATAATTTAACTCAGTCCCTCAGTGGCACAGCCACATTCAAGTGCTCAGTCCTCAACGCAGCCCCTGGGCACCAGACAGACATTGAGGTAGCAGCAGTTGTACACATTGTCACAGCAATTGTACGGGACTGCGCTGGTCCGGAGGTTCCAAGAGCCGGGCTGCGCGGCTGTAGCTCCTGCTGCCATCACTGCCCCCTCCCAGGTGTCCAAGGATTGCCCACCCTTCTACAAGGGTTGCGGTCATTGGGTCTCCCGCAGGAAGGGGCTCTCAGGCGGGCCCTGGTCAGTGTCGCGCTCTGCCCTGCAGGGTGATTCTGCTGCTGATCAACTCCTTCGACCTTGAGGATGGCTCCGTGACCGCCGACAACCTGGAGCAGGTGAAGAGCTACCTGGCGTCCACCTACCCCAGCGAGTACAGCGCCATAGCCCCGCAAATCCGCAACTGCAGCCTGGAGTCGGAGCTGAACACGGTGAGGAGCCGGTGGCTGGCGGCTGGGCTCGCCTCCCTCTGTGCACCGGGAGCCTGTGTGGGGCCGGCGGGCGGCGGGGGAGGCACCAGCAGGTCCAGGGGCGCTCGGAGGACAGCCCTGGCGGCCCTCTGCCTGAGCAGGTGCCTGTGGGACCCGTGTCCCTCCTTCCGCCCTTTTCTCTTATTGAGAACATTTTTTTTTTTTTTGAGACATTAATTTAGTTATTCGAAAGGCAGAGTGACAGGAAGAAACAGAGATGGAAAAGAGAGGTATCTTCCATCCATCGGTTCACTGCCCAGATGTCCGTAATGGCCAGCTATGGGCCGGGCTGAAGCCAGGAGCCAGAGCTCTGTCCCCAGAAAAAACTGCATGGGAGGTTAGCACCTGGGCCGCCTGCGGCTGCCTCTCCAGGGGCCTCAGCAAGAGGCTCTCCGGATCCGCAGGAGAGGAGCCAGGCCTGGAACCAGCACTCCGAGAGGGGATGCTGGCACTGCAGGCGGCAACCTCACCCACCGTGCTAGGCTGCCGGCCCGTAGAACAGCGCGTATGACAAACGCCCACAGACGCACCACTCCGAGTGGACACTTAGAAACATTTGTCATTTTGTGTTCAGATTTAAAAAAAAAAAAATTTGAGAGGCAGAATTAGAGAGACAGAGAGGGACAGAGAAAGAGAGGTCTTGAGTCTGCTGGTTCAGTCCCCAAATGGCCAGAACAGCCACAGTGGGGCGGATCTGAATTCAGGAGCCAGGAGCTACTTCCGGATCTCCCAGGTGGGTACAGGGGCCCAAGCACTTGGCCCATCTTCCACTGCCTTCCCAGGCCATTAGCAGAGAGCTGGATCTGAAAAGGAGCAGCTGGGATTTGAACTGGCACCCATATGGTATGCTTGTATTGCAGGCAGAGGATTAACCTACTGGGCCACAGCACCAGCCCCTGCGATTTTTTAATCTAAAAGTAGAATTTCAGGGCTGGCGCCGCGGCTCACTAGGCTAATCCTCCGCCTTGCGGCGCCGGCACGCCGGGTTCTAGTCCCGGTCGGGGCGCCGGATTCTGTCCCGGTTGCCCCTCTTCCAGGCCAGCCCTCTGCTGTGGCCAGGGAGTGCAGTGGAGGATGGCCCAGGTGCTTGGGCCCTGCACCCCATGGGAGACCAGGAAAAGCACCTGGCTCCTGGCTCCTGCCATCGGATCAGCGTGGTGCGCCGGCCGCAGCGCGCCGGCCGCGGCGGCCATTGGAGGGTGAACCAACGGCAAAGGAAGACCTTTCTCTCTGTCTCTCTCACTGTCCACTCTGCCTGTCTAAACAGAGCATAAAGAAAAAAAAGTAGAATTTCAGTAAAAGCCCTCTTCATGGCCAGCCCTGGGTTTTCCTGCTCCCCAGGGGTGAGAGCTTTTTCTTCAATGATTACCCATGTTCATGTTTTTGAATGACATTTTTTGTTGGCTGTTTTTAATTGGATATAAGTGACCTGGAAAATACTTTTCTCATTATAGATTGTAATTTTTCATTTATGTGTCACATTTTATCCCATCACACAACATACCATGACTTATTTATTCCTTTACTAATATTCTCTTGGTATTTTGTTTTCTAAACTGTTGCTACTTAATAACACTTTTTATATTTATACAGAATTATCTCCACTATACTGAGATCTTTCTTTTTCACATTAATTTTGGAGCAGCTTAATGAGTTCTGCAGAAGAAAAAAAATGCCTTAGGGGACTTAAATTAGAGCTGCATTGATTTTATGATATGATTTGGGGAGAATTAGTATCTTTGAATTGTAACTGTTTTTCAGGAGCATGCATTCACTCAGAATTTTTATGATCTTGAATTTGTTTTATAGATGAAAATCTTGACAAATCTTTGCTTAGGCTTCTTGTTTTATTGTTCTTGAGATGGGTGTCTTGGTGCCTTTGAATCACTGCATATTTTTGTGGGAAAAGCAAGCTAAAGATTTTTGCATGTTGATCGTGTATCTAGCAGCTCTGGTGAATTCTCTTCTGAATTCTTGTCTACAATATGCTTCCATTTTCTATGTAGACTACCATATTGCCTGCAGTTAACATTTTTGCTTTTTGGATTTCTCATTCATTTTTGAAAATTTTATTCACTAAGTTTTCTACAGGGAAGTGGTAGTGATTGTGGGTGTATTTCTACCTCTTTTCTATTTAACATAAATATAAATTCTGTAGATTTCTTCTCGAGTGTGTTTTTAGAGAATACTTCAGTTTAGCGATAAGGATCTGTTGTGTGACACCAGCATCTTTTATGGGCACTGGTTCAAGTCCCAGCTGTTCTACTCCTCTCCAGCTCCCTGCCAACAAACCTGGGAACGCAGCAGAAGATGGCTCAAGTGTGTGGGTCCCTGCACCCATGTGGGAGAGCCAGATGGAGTTCTAGGCTCCTGGCTTCAGCCTGGCCCAGCCCCAGCTCTTGCAGCCATTTGAGGAACGAACTAGTAGATGAAATATCTCTCTCTCTACTCCCACCCTGCCCCTATAACTCTGCCTCTCAAATAAATAAAATCCATCTTTTAAAAAAAAAATAGGAATGAGGGAGACCTCTTGGCTCTGGTTGGCTGTGGTTATTTTTGCCTTTTCACTGTTTGATGGGTGGCTGAGTTCTAGATCACCTTGTGGGAAGGCGGCGATGCTGGCGTCTGGTTGACTAGCCCTAGCTCCCTGCCGCCACTGGCTGCTGGCCTGACCGTCCCTCCTGGGGCAGGCATCGGAGCCCCTGTCCCCACGGCACTGGCTTCGTCGCGATCCCGCTCAGCTGAGCCGGGAGAGCCATTGTCTCCCTGCCTCCCCCGTCTTCTCGGCTCAGCTTCCTTGGCAGTTGTGGCACCTGGGTGATTTCCTCGCTGACCGCTGGGCTGGGCTCTGTGTCCTAGAATGAGGGGGTCCAGGTTCTTTAGACTCCCCACTCCCCCATATTTTCTTTGCTATCTCCTTCTCTCCCTGTCTCTCCTCACCCCCATTATTCTCTGATGCTTCAAATTCAGGTACTTGTTTGTCCTCTTGACATTTTCCCAGGCACATTTAATTTCCCAAAGTCTGAAATCAGACAGCCTCCCGACGGCCCTCCCACATGGGACCTTTAGAAGGCTTTCATCACCTCCCTCCTCTTTTACATATTGTTATCCAGTCCTTTTTTAAAAAATTATTAATTTTAAAGAGTTAGGGAGGGAGAGACAGAGATCTTCCATCTGCTGGTTCACTCCCCAGATGGCCACAACCGGAGCCAGGAGCTGCATCCGGGTCTCCACGTGGATGCAGGGACCCAAGCACCTGAGCCATGCTCTGCTTTCCCACGCACATCAGCAGGGCACGCGATCAGAAGTCGAGCAGCCTGGATTCGAATCGGTGCCCACATGGGATGCCAGTGTAGCAGGCAGCAGCTGAAGCTGCCGTGTCACGGTGTCAGTCCCTGAGTTCTATCTTTTTAAACCTGTGGATCGAATACTATTGTTATTTTGTATGACAGTGTATTTTAGGTATAGATGTATATATTATTACTTAAAAGAGGAGGACGGGGCCGGCGCTATGGCATGGTGAGTCAATCTGCTGCCTGCAGTGCTGGCATCCCATATGGGTGCCAGGTCAAGTTCTGGCTGCTCCACTTCCAATCCTGCTCCGTGCTAATGAGCCTGGAAAAGCAGTAGAAGATGGCCCAAGTGCTTGGGCCCCTGCACTCATGTAGGAGACCTGGAAGAAGTTCCTGGCTCAGCCTGGCCCAGCTCTGGCCATTGCAGCCATCTGGGGAGTGAACCAGCAGATAAAAGACTTCTCTTTCTCGAACTCTGCCTTTCAAAGAGATGAAATAAATCTTAAAAAAAAAAAATCTTCTATCAGCAGGTTTACTCTCCAAATGTCTGCAAAATGTGGGGCTGGGCCAGGCAGCAGCCAGGAGTCAGGAATTCCATGTGGGTCTCTGACGTGGGTGTCAGGGATTCACGTACCGGAGCCATCATCTGCTGCCTTCCAGGGTGCACACAGGCAGGGTCTGGATCAGAAGTGTGTGCAGGACTCAGCCCTAGGCACTCCAGCGTGTGACACAGGATCCCACGGCATTTCACCTCCGTGCCACAACGCCTACCCTGTGCTGTCACTTCTCAGCTTCCCAATCCTTTCCTGTTAGATATTTCTACCTTTGCAACTTTATCTGTGTCTCCCAGGTGGGTGTAGGGGCCCAAGCACTTGGAGTAGCTGTGCTGCTTCCCCAGGAGCATCTGCAGGGAGCCGGATCGGAAGTGATGCTCACATGGATGTCAGTCTCCCGGCTGGTGGAGGCGTAACCCACTGCGCCACACTGGTCCCTGAGTCTTTTTTATTCCTGCTGCCTCTGCCCTCGCGATGACTTGTCTTGGGGTTTATAAATTCATTGCCTAATCTTAATCTCAGGGTTCTGTGGGCCAAAATTGAGGAGCTTTCCCCAGACGGGATTTTCTTTGGCTGCTCTGCTGCTGGGAGGCAGGAGCCTCCCCCACCCACAGGGAATCCGCCTTTCAGGCTGGGTTTGCATGGTTCAGTGTTTCCACCACAGTGCTGCCCATACAGGGGTCTGTCCCCCAGGCTGGCTGCTGCTACTGTAGCCCCTCTATCCCTCCTCGGTTTCCAGCCCCCCAGATGTCAGAACACCCAGTCAGGACACTGGAAGCAGAAAATTTCCAAGCTTTATTTAAAAAAAAAAATATTTATTTTGTTTGAGAGGCAGAGGCAGATAGAGGTCTTCTGTCCACCGGTTCACTCCCCAAATGGCCGCAGTGCCTGGAGGTGGGCTGATCTGAAGCCAGGAGCTTCTTCGAGATCTTCCACACAGCTGCAGGGGCCCAAGGACTTGGGCCATCTTCTACTGCTTTCCCAGGCCACAGCAGAGAGCCAGACTGGAAGTGGAGCAGCTGGGACTTGAACTGGCACCCATGCTTGTACTGCAGGAGGCAGCTCTTAACCTCTACACCACAGCACCAGTCCCAACTTTTAAAAAACTGTATTTAACCCACCATTTGTGTGCACTGGAGCCGGAGAGAGGAACTTGGTTCCAGGCAGACTCAAGTTCCTGCCGAGCTTGCTCCCTGAGCTCCTGACGGCCTCCTTTCCTGTTTAGTTCTGAGCTTGGGGGACCTGGCCTGCAGAGGGTGGACCCAGCCAGAGAATGTGGCATCTCATAGCCTGGCCCGAGGTCCCCCAGGCTGCATAGCCCAGGCTGTGGGTGAGGCGACTGTGCATCATGGATCCCTGGCCATGGAACCGGTGTCTTCCCTCTGTGCGCAGGCCGTCCAGGGCACAGGCCTGGCTTTCATCGTCTACACGGAGGCCATCAAGAACATGGAGGTGTCGCAGCTGTGGTCGGTGCTCTACTTCTTGATGATGCTGTTGCTGGGTGTGGGGAGCATGCTGGGAAACACGATGGCCATCATCACCCCTCTGACCGACAGCAAGTTCATCTCCAGCCTCCTGCCCAGGGAGGTCATCTCAGGTCAGGAGGCGGGGTCTGGGAGGGCTGCTTGTGGGGCGGGGATGGTGCAGGAGTTTTGTCCAGGATCAGGTGCTTGGCAGGGTGGCTGCCGAGGGCTGCAGCAACCTCACCCGTGAAACCGCCATCGGCTCCTCCCCATTAGGGGACTTGGCCCCATGACTCGCTCCATGCATGTGATTCTCCATTGAGTTATAAATAATTGAGAGAGATCTTCCATCCATTGGTTCACTCCCCAAATGGCCACAATGGCCATGGCTAGGAAAGGCCAAATCCAGGAGCTTCATCTGGGTCGCCCATGTGGGTGCAGGGGCCCAAGCACTTGGGCCATTTGCTGCTTTCCCAGGCACATTAGGAGAGAACTGGATCAGAAGTGGAGCAGCCTGGACTTGAACCAGTGTCTCTGGGATGCTGTGCTGCTGATGGTGGCTTAACCCGCTGCACCACCGCACCAGCCCTGTAACACAAGGAGTTTTCCATCTGGCTTCATCTTGACTCGGGTCAAGAGTCAGTCCCATACCCCAGAGAGCTGCTCTGCATCCCTTCCCAAGCAGTAGATACCCCAGAGGCCACCCCTATGCCGACTTTACCAGTTAGGGTTGTCTGTACTGTTCTAGAACTTTCCCTACGTGAAACCATGTGGTGCTTACTGTCTCCTGAGTTCACTCAGACTGTCTAGGTGAGTTCCATGTGTTATAGAGGAGGAGCGGTCTCTCTGCTGCCTGCCTGAGAATCACTGTGGCAGGATGGAAGCCAGTCCCTATATCCGTCCTGCCGGGCACTGGGGTTGTCAGCAAAGGAACTGCTGCTGCCAATGAAGCCGCTCCCAGGCTCCCTCCTGCCGTCAGCTCCATCCACCCAGGCTGCCGTGGCCAGCCCCGTCCGTCCCCGTGACGAGACTTCTCTGCCACCGCCCGCTCTGGTTCCAGCCCCTCACCCTGACCACGCGGGTAGGGCCCGTCCCCTCTCCTCTGGGGTCTGGTCTCTGTCGTCAGCATGACACAGGCCGGGTCCCCTCAGGGTGCAGAGGGCTCAGGGCCACAGGGGAAAGGGCAGGTGGGAGCCAGGACAGACATTCCATGGGGGCTCAGCGCCGGCAGCCAGGGGTCAGGGGGATACCGATGCAGGAAGTGGAGGCTGAGGGGCTCGATTCCTGTCTGCTGCGTGTGCTGTGGGGGAAGGGGCGAGGGGCTCCACGCCTCTGAGTCCCCTCCCCCAACCTGGGGCACACAGGCATAAGGGTGGAATGGACGGTGAGTAGGCTCTTGGTAAACGCTGGTTTCTCCCTCTTCCCCTCCTGGGCTGGCACAAGAGCTCTCAGGAAACGGTTCAAGGGATCCCCTCGTTCCCGTCTGCTCCCCTGAGCCCTGGGGCTGAGGGGTTGGGATGAACAGCAGCCCCCGCCCCACAGCCTGACGCCATTCCCATGAGAATAGCACCCCCTGCTGGTCACTCTGCTGAGTTTGATGCCTGCTGGGCACTGCCATGAACTGGAACCAGTGACTCCTGGGACACCTCTGCTCCCCACCCCGTCCACGGCCTGCACCGTCAGGGCGGCCCCGCCATGGCTGGCCAACGTTCCCATAAGAGTCTGCTCTTGCCACCCCGCAGTCAACCGGGTAAGGAGGCCAGGCGGTCTGCGGCAGGTGAGCGGGTGGTCTTGTGCCCCCAGGTCTGGTGTGCCTCATCAACTGTGCCATCGGCCTGGTGTTCACCTTGGAGTCCGGCAACTACTGGTTTGACATCTTCAACGACTACGCAGCCACGTTGTCCCTGCTGCTTATAGTGCTGGTGGAGGCGGTCGCCTTGTGCTACGTGTACGGGCTGAGGAGGTGAGGAGACCCCACAGCACCAGGGCTGCCCCTTTCCTGTAGCTCCTCCCCTTGCTATATTCAGGCATGTGGGAATGGGGTGAAGGGATGAGAGGACCCCCGCAATCCAGCCAGTATCCTTGTGCACGCCCCTGGCGTTCATGAAATTTCACGCGACTTTGTGGGTGCTATCAGCAGTGGGCCTGAGCAGGCAGTGCGCTCTGCATTGCCGTGGCGGCTCAGAACCTGACCCCGGTGCGAGGCTAGGAGGGGACTGTGGTTGCAGCTGGACAGTCACTCTCTTGCCAGGCAGTTTCAAAGGCCCTGGCCTGGAGGCAGGAGGCCCATCCTGGTTCTGGGCCAGTGTGTCCGTAAGAGCTGCAGAGCTTCTCACACTACACGTGTGGGTACTGGAAGGATGAGAGATTCATCTACAGAATCCACAGGAAGCCCCATGCTGTTGTGCACTGTTGTGCTAGTGGCAGTTGGTGCCAAGAATGGAAGGAGCGTGTGGGGGTGCGGGGAGATGGATGGGGATGGAGGCTGTAGGCTCCGGCTCCTCCAGCTCAGCTCCAGCAGGCTGGGCCCCAGCCTTTTGTAACCCAGGTGGGCTTGCTCTGTGCCCCGGGGAGCCCTGCTCTGGTTCCCAGCAGACAACGCGTCTGTCACAGGCAGCCGCTGCTGATGGACAGCAGTCTCGCACAGAGGGCAGGCCTGACCCAGATCCCACCTTGTTCCCACGGATCCCTGCAGCTGCCCTTGCCCCATTCCACCCCAAAACGCCCTTGCAGAAGGCATCAGGCAGAGAGGAACCTGTAGCCCTGTGCAATCCTCACAGGTGCTGAACAGAACCGTCCTGAGCAGAACGCCGGGCTAGCGGCCCTGGCACCGGCACCATGAGTCACCCGGACTTCCTGTCCCCTCTGCACCAGGTTTGAACGTGAACTCCAGGCCATGACCGGCCGCGCCCTCAGCTGGTACTGGAAGATCTTGTGGGCAGTCGTGAGCCCGCTGCTCATGGTTGGCCTCTTTATCTTCTACCTGAGTGACTACATCCTCGCGGGGACCCTGCAGTACCAAGCTTGGGACGCCAGCCAGGTACCTGCCCTCCCTGGCCAGGCCCCCAGATCTCTCCCAATCTGGGAACCCATCACAGCGTGCAAACAGCCCGGGAGTATCTGACAGATGCTCAGCAGCACAGGAAGTACATTCTCTTCAAGGGCTGCTGCTGTCCCCCTTTGGAGGTCCTACGAGGTCCCTCTGATGGGAGGCGCTGATCTGTGGGTGTCGGAGCAGCAGCTCCACCGCTGGCTGGCTGGCGGCACTCATCTCCCAGGCTGCGCAGGCCTCGCAGTGGGCGCCACCCCAGGCTCCCCTACGTGGGTGCCTGTGGGCTGGGGCACTTCCTGCTGCTGATGTCTGTTCCCCCTTGCAGGGCCAGCTGGTGACCAGGGACTACCCCCCGTACGCTCTGGCTGTCATCGGGCTGCTCGTGGCCGCCTCCACCATGTGCGTCCCCCTGGTGGCCCTGGGGACATTCGTCCTGCGCCGCCTCAAGAGAGGAGACACAGCCCCCGTGTCCTGAGATCAGGGCCCCCCAGAGCTCCGGCTCCCAGGTACACCCTGCTCAGCTGCCGATTATATTGTAGATATAATCTTTAACATTTTGTTAATGTTCGCGTTAGAAATCAGATTTATATGCCACCATTACAATAATGGAGTATTTCTTAATGACAATAATTGCATGTATTTATGGGGTACAGTACAAATGTGCCAACAAATGAAAACTAGCATTTTCATCTTCTCAAACATCACTCACATTTGAAAGGCAGAGTTACAAAGATGGGGCTGGGAGAGAACAATTAGCACCTGGACCTTTGGATTAAACTAAACAATTTCAAAAGGGAAGTCTGGAGAGCAGACAGGTCCTCTAAGGGCATTCACTTGTGGCCATAAACGCCACACGTCTTGCAGCAGGTGGCACAGGGACATGTCCATGCAAAGATCTTGGGGAACTGCCACTGGCTCATGTGGGAGACCATCCAAAGCAACAGGCTTTTCATCTCTGAGGCCACAATACTCATCTCACAGATGAATTCCATGGAAGACTGCTCTTCCACGAAGACCTACGAATAAAAGATTCTGCAGGTTGGAGTGTGGCGCTGCTGGCTGGCGCCGTCCGTCCGCTAACCTCGGACCAGTCCTCTGCATTCGGTTTAATCCTGCGTTTTCCCATAATTCTCACCACAGCCACAGGGGAGAGCTCGCACATCTCCACACACACGCAGGAGAACGTACTTCGGCAGGGCCCCTGCAGGGGCAGGGCCAGCAAGGGCAGGGCCAAGGCCACCCTGCACCGAGGGCTTCCTGAGGAGCGATTCTCAGCAGTGCAAACACCCAGGTCGGTGGAACAGGACAGAAAGCCCAAACACCCCAGAACGGGGACAGCGATGGCACTTTAGATCCAAGCACTTTCTCAGCCACAGGCTCACCTTCGTGGGGAGGGAACACCGGGCTTCCACGGGCGATCGTGCCATGCAGGCAGCGGTCCACTCCCAGCCTCGGGAGCTTCAGGCTGAGACCAGCCCTGCCCAGGGGGTTGTCACTTGGCAGTCGAAGCTTCTCCCTCTTCGTTCCATCAGACAAAACTGCAGCCAACTCTTCAACAAACGACCGCATAAAAAAAGCCACTGCCCTTTGAGATCACAGCCTAATCTGACCTCTCTAGACGGACACACCCTCACCTCACTCCAAAGCCCAAAGTCCATTAATTGTGACTACAACCTTTTCCTTCTAACATCTGCTACCCTATTGTAGATTTAGTGTTTTTTTTTTTTTTTTTAAAAAGGCTCATTTTTATTCATTTGAAAGGTAGAGTGAGGCATTCCATCCACTGGTTCACTCCCCAGACGGCTGCAATGGCCAGAGCTGTGCCAATCCGAAGCCAGGAGCCCGAGGTCTTGGGCCATCTTCTACTGCTTTGCCAGGCCACAGCAGAGAGCTGGATGAGAAGTGGAGCAGCCAGGACTCGAACCAGTGCTAGCACTGCAGGCGCTGGCCCCCTGATATGGTCTTATACAAGCATAACACATGCTAAGAAAACACTAGCAAATTTACTATCACTGAAATTACAGAATTTTTCATTTGAGTCCCAGCTGCTCTACTTCCAATCCAGTTCTCTGCTGGTGCACCCAGGAAAGCAGTAGGAGATGGCCTAGGTACTCAGGCCCCTCCAACTGAAATGGGCAATCAGGAGGGAGATCCAAGCTACTGGTCCAGCTCCAGCCACTGAGGCCACCTGGAGAGTCAAGATCTTTCTCTTGGTCTCTGCTTCTACCCCTGCCTTTCAAATAAATAAACCTTAAAAACAGAAGAAAATGAAGACAAGGTACCAAGTGGGAAAAGATACTGGTGGTACACAACAAAAAACTGCTCTCCCAAATATAAGGAGTTTCAGTAACTCAACAGGACAATATAACAGGAGGAGGCAAAAGACTGCCTGCAACAACCGTATTGCTCACTTGCAATCCAGCTTCCTGCTGATATGCCTGGCAAAGCAGTAGATGATCGTCCAAGTGCTTGGGCCCCTGCCATCCACGTGGGAGACCTGGGATGGGGCTCCAGGTGTTAGCCTTACCCAGCTGTTGTGGCCACCTAGGGAGTGAACCAGTGGGCAGATGCTCTTTCCCCCACTTACCCTCAACTCTGCCTTTCAAATAAATCTGTAAACAAAAGTTAGGAAGAACAGATCCAGCTATAACCTTCAACATGGATAAATGTTAACCACAGGAAGTTTAAAAGCAGGCTCGAAGATACACAATACCACCAAGAGAAATAATAAAGTTATCAAGGCTGAGTACTATGTTAAGCTAAGAAGATGCAAATGTGGGAGAGGGGAAAAAAAAGTTAATGGTCATCTCTTTGTAAGCCCTGGCTGCCTATCTCAAACAGTAGCAGCCTGAGTTGTGCAAAGGCACAGGGGATTCTGGGAGCTGCCATGGATGGGGCATTCATGGCCCAATTCTCTATCTGTATCCTTCCTTGCCCTGTGTCTTCCCCTTTGCGGCTGAGGTGTTAGATGGCACTACATGACCAGAACACCCTGGTCCTGGCCTAAGCCCCACCTCCTCCAGGAAGCCAACCACTTCCCCCCAGTACTGCCTCCATACTCACTCTTGCATTCTTCTGAACACAGCAGGCAAACCCAAAGATCTCCACCGCCTGGCCCTGAGGCCCTTGTGCAGCCCCTCTGCTTGAACGAGCCGGAGCCTGGGACTTCTTCTAGCAGAGCAAGGCACTAGTGACGGCACGACACTCCGAGGTCAGCTTGTTAAGCACTGCCACTCCCATTTGGCCAGTAGACTCTGTGACTGGCTTTGATGACCCAAACTGCCACACTGGAGAGGACCATGGGGCAAGGAACTGAAAGTGCTTCCAGCCAGCAGACAATCAGTCCAACATAAAGCATCACTATTAGAAAAAAATATTTTCAAGCACAACACTGAAACATTACAGCCTGTGAGGGAACTAAACCCTGCCAACAAGCAGAGTGCACGTGAATGTGGACCCTGAGCCAGCGCCACGGCTCACTAAGCTAATCCTCTGCCTTGTGGTGCCGGCACCCCGGGTTCTAGTCCCAGTCAGGGCGCCGGATTCTGTCCCGGTTGCTCCTCTTCCAGGCCAGCTCTCTGCTGTGGCCCGGGAGGGCAGTGGAGGATGGCCCAAGTGCTTGGGCCCTGCACCCCATGGGAGACCAGGATAAGTACCTGGCTCCTGCCATCGGATCAGCGTGGTGCACCGCCGCAGCGGCCATTGGAGGGTGAACCAACGGCAAAGGAAGACCTTTCTCTCTGTCTCTCTCACTGTCCACTCTGCCTGTCTAAATAACTAAATAAATAAATAAAAAGTGGACCCTGGGGATGGCACTGTGGCTTAGTGGGTAAAGCCACCACCTACAGTGCTGGCATCTGATATGGGCACCGGTTCAAGTCCCAGCTGCTCCTCTTCCAATCCAGCTCTCTGCTATGGTCTGGGAAAGTAGTAGAAGATGGCTCAAGTCCTTGGGCCCCTGCACCCATGTGGGAGACCCAGAAGAAGCTCCTGGCTCCGGACCGGCACAGCTCTGGCCGTTGCAGTCAACTGGGGAGTGAAACAGCAGATGGAAAACCTCGCTCTCTGCCTCTCCTCTGCTTAACTCTGACTTTCAAATAAATAAGTCTTAAAAAAAAAAAAAAAAAAAAGCGGACCCTGTCCCAGTTGAATCTTGACTAATTTTGTGGGAGACCCTGAGGTCGGGGAACAGAGCTTCAACCATGTCCAAATTGCTGAGGTACAGAAACTGAAATAATACTTACGGATTTTTTTTTCAACAACTAAGTTTCAGGATAATATGTGACACAGAGATAGACAACTGATACATCTCTCACGTCCCCTGCCATCCCTAGGTGGGAGCACAGTAGACCTAATTCTCAATAAATTTTGCTGAAACTCTTTCACTAAGAAACTGGAATAAGTAAGCAAAGTTTGTATTCTAAAGATTTACCATAATTGGAGTGGGCGTTGTGTCCCAGGGGGCTCAGCTGTTGATTCAGATGCCAGTATCCCATATCGGAGTGCCTGGGGACGAGTCCTGACTCTGCTTCTGAGCCGGCTTCCTGCTCACACACCTGGGAGGCAGCAGATGATGGTCCAAGTGCTTGGGTTCCTGTCACCCACGCGGGAGACCTGGGCAGAGTTCTTGACTCCTGGCCTCAGCATGTTCTTGAAGAGCGAGCCAGCAGATGGAAGTATGGTCACTCTGCCTTTCAAATAAAAAAAAAATACCTTTAAAACAGGTGTATGTCTATAAGTATATCCTTGTGTGTCTGTGTCCAGATGCCATTTGCCAGGACTTCCATTCTGCCTCCACAGCAGCCAGGGCCTTGGGCACCAGGTATTTTCACCAGCTCTTCCTCACACTCACCGAGCCCTCCCTGTGGCCTAGAGAGAACATTTTCTAATAAGCGAGGTTTTCCCACTTACTGGTTGAGGCCTGTATCATTTTGAGAAAAAAACTGTAATTTCTAAGTGGGTGACACCTTTTCGTAGACATGACGCTTTACTGTTTCCCTGGTTTTCTCCATAACTAACAAATGCCGCATCTCAAGAGATGATACCTGGAAAACAGGATTTCAGAACTACTGAATGACTCGTACTACTTTTTCTATAATCACTCCATAGTGCTTAAATATTGAAAATTACCTTTTGAGATGAAGTACAGGAATGACATCAACAACAGTTAGAAAAGAATGACATTTATTTTTCGCGTGTGGATGTACAGTACATGAATTAAGAAATAAAATCGACACGGAGTCTACAATCCATAGCTCACCACCTACCACGCCGGCAGGAGTGCACTCCCCGCCGGGCAGCCACACCAGCTGTTCAGATTTGGTCTTGGGTGCAGCTCCTTACATAAGTTCCTAATGGAAAATGCCCAGTAGCATTTGAGTAATATTACAGTAGACATAACTACATTTCAACATTCCCTCTTTGGAACCATTTATGCTTATTTACATGTTAAGAATAGGTGGCTCTATTGACTTACCCTATTGTGAGTCTTAATGACTGATTTTAAGCTATAGAGGGTTTTCCCAGCTATTATTTCCTTTACAGTTTCTAAAAGCAACAACTCTTATTAATGTTTATAAAAGATAATGTTGAAAAAAACATGTTGAAGGCGCTTTTAGAAATATTTAAGGACAACATAAAGCATCACTATTAGAAAAAAATATTTTCAAGCACAACACTGAAACATTACAGCAGTGTTTCACTGAATTGTTTCAAAATAGTGGTAATTATACTACCTTACATACAGTTCTAAGTATCTAAACCTCATAATTACAATTTGATTCTACACTCTGACTTACACTGAGAACTATGCACAGCTTCTGAAGCATATTGTTCAGGTTTGCTTTTGCACATAAATTAAGAGTTGAAGTTGGTCCTTGATTGGAGTAACTACCTGGAAGCACTGAATTTTAGACACACTTATTGACAGCCAACAAAAACCCTGACAGAGTGAAAAGCATCGATGGTACCATGCGTGGAAAAGCAGCTGCTGCCCCCAAGCGCAGGATCAGATCTAGCACAAGACCCTCTCGGATGCCTGCCAAGAAACCAAAATGTGCAGGAGGACGCAGCTGACCGGCCAAGGGTATTTTCCACACTGGGGCAGATCCTTACAATGAGAAGGCTTTGGACCTTTAGCATAAGAGATAGACTTTACATTCTTTGATTTCATTTACACCTTTTAAAAAAGATAAAGTACATCTGAACTCTTCCATGGGACTTGGACTGCTGGTGCCCCCAGCAGCTTGAGCACACTGTGGCCGTGAGGCGCTCCTTCAGAAATGTCCAGAGCCCAGCCCTGTCTCTTTCCCTCAGCCTCGTGAAGTCATGGACTGTCACGTCCAGTGACTCGATGGCTGTGAGGGGCTTACATTTTATCAGCACACTCAGTTACCTTATTATTAAACTTTTTAAGCAAAGTCCAAAGATACATGGGAAAGTATGCCAGGTAACAGTGACAACTACGCTAGAAAAATAATTTTGCCATTTTAAATAATGAAAGAGCTAAATTTTTAAAATATATTACTTATTTCTGCAACAGTTGATTAAACTGACAATGAGTAGATTCCTTCCATTCTGTGAGCTAAATTCAGGTTATATTTTAATTACAACATTGCTTCAAATTATAAATATAACCACGCCCAAAGTAACGAGATCATCAAGGCAGTAACGTCAGAACAACTCTAAATGATCACCCTGCACAGTGCACAGGAGGTGATGCTGGATAAAGGCTTTAGCCAGACCTCGGGCTGACGTGGAAAGCGGGTCAGTAAAGACTCCAGTTCTGCATCATGGAATCTTCCAAGCCGAGCCGCTTTCCACAAACACAAATTCAGTCTATCTTTTCTTTCTGGACCAATCTGGGAGCATCAACAAAATCCTTGCCATTGTAAAGGATGATAAAAAATGTCCCAATGCTTGCGACTCCCCAGAAGAGCACATAGGCCAGTGTTTCTGTCCAAGTGTCACCTGTTGATATTGAAAAACAAAGTCAGTACATAGAAGTGGTTCCTTGATGCCAGATCGACTGGCAGGATCAACAGCTGTTTAGCACATGCACAAGACAAACAGCAGAACTTCCTAACCATGGTTCAACCAGCAGTTCCCACACTGGCCAGCCCAGAATCCTCTGCGCGGCTTACAGCGACCACTGCTGGCTGCCAGGCCCCAGGAGATGAGCAGTCCAATGGGTCCCTGGATACTGCTGCTGCAACTCATCCAGAGACCTCTCTGTGGAGAACCACTGGACTACAGCATTTCATTTTATACCACACAAATCGTAATTTGCACTTGATATGTCATATTTTAGTATTATAAGAAACTACACATAGTTAAATTCATAATTCTATGACAGATACGAGCTACTATCAAAATATCCACACAAATACTTTACACATGTTTCAGAACAGTTATGTAGTCAAACATATATAATAAAACCCAGTGCCATTTAGCACAACCCTGCTAATGAGCATTTGTCTAAGCCTAGAGTGGCCAAAGGCTGGCAGCAGTCAGCAGGCAAAGACCCATTTTTTCATTCCTTGAACAGCTTGAGCTTCATGTCGCTTCTCTTCTGCAAGTGTTCTGGCCTCCTCTGCAGAGGCAGAGAGCAAGACAGCATCTAGACTGCTTCCTACCAGAGACACATTTTGTTTTACATTCTCCTAAAAATGAATAGGGGCTGGACATCAGACACCACCATATGCAAACACCACTGAAGTCATTATTTTACAATTAACTGACATGAGATGTTACCATCCACAGCATTCAACATCTTTACTCAAAAACACACTCAAATTTCTGCAACTGTTAGTCCTCACAGTTCTGAGTTTTAAAATTCTTAGTGAAAGAAGGAAGGCAGCGCCTTCTAAGTGCACTCTGTGGGACACTCCCAAGAGAATCTCCATGTCACTCAGGCTGAGCTCTGAGCATTAACTATCCAGTCCCTCCAGAAGTCCTTTAGGTCACTGTGGGCAGAGTAGAAAACAGTAACACTACCTAATTTGGTAGTGCAATGGTTCTCAGAAAAAGCTATCCACTGGGCAGTATTTAAAGGCAGAAGCCACAGGATCTAGGGAATGAGCGAAACCAGCCGCTATCTCGGAGGATTCAGCACACATGGCTGCTTCTGTCCTGTTCTGCCAGTCAACACAGGACCCGCAGTCATGCACCAGACACTTCCTGTGCTCTCACCCTGTTCTTACACGGTGCGCCAAGGATGGCTTCCTATTTATAAAGGGTTGTAAAAACAAAAAGAGTACACAACACAGACCACAAGCAATCTGTAGACAAAAACATTTACTATCTGGCTCTTTACAGAAAAAAATTGCTAACTAAATAATATGACTCCATCCCCTCATTCAATAGTCCAACATCCTTCACACTACGTAGTGACCATCCACAGTGCTGACTCAACACTGAGGGGGAAACAGAGGAACACGCATGGAGCAGCCCCCTGCCAAGAGGCTGACAGGGGAAGAGACGGGGATGGTGGTGGCAGCAGAACCAGAGTTTATTCAACACACACCTGAGGGCTCACTGTATCCCACAGAAGGTAAAATGACTCATCAGTCTCTGCCTTCAAAAAGCTGCTGATCAAGTGAAAAAGGCAACCCAGCAGGCCGATCATTAGCACACAACAGACACACACACCGACTCTGCACAGCGGAGGCACCTGCCTCCGAAACACCCATCCCTCGGTGTGTGTGGGGCTCCAAGAGCCAAGTGCTGGGGGAGGTACAGAGAGCACTGTGCCCCGCTAAGGGGCGATGGCTTCTGCGAGGGAGAACGTGGGAGCAGTGAGCGGGCAGCCTGTGAGTGCTGCTCAGGTGCTGCAATTCAGCCCCAGGAAGGCTGACCCACCCGAGGATGCGGGACAGAGCGTGGGGACTGCACCTCAAGGTTCAACACGACAAGTCCCGGACTCTAACCCACAAAGCACAAGATACGGTTTACTGGGGACTGCGTTCTTACTTTAGTCTTAAATGCTTATTAACTTAGGAACACAGGGAAATATCAAGAAGAAATGAAAATGGGAAGCATCTTGTCAGCTCCAGTTTGTAGGTTGTTTTCCTCTCAATACATAGTAAGTAATGTCCAAGAACAGGAGGCTGGTTAAATAAGCGGTAAGTCCATAGATGGAATATTGTGCAGCCATTAAAAATGAAGACCATGGGACCATATTCATATTGCTCCATGAAAAAAGTTGATTAAAAAACGTGTATCTCACATTTGAAAATACACACACACACACACACACACACTTAGAAAAATTAAACATCAAAATGTTTAGAGTGGGGGCTGGCACTGTGGTACAGCAGATCAAGCCACTGTCTATGACGCCAGCATCCTATGTGGGTGCCAGTTTGAGTCCCAACTGCTCCACTTCCAATCCAGCTCCCTGCTACTGCACACAGGAAAGCAGTGGACATTGGCCCAAGTGTTTGGGCTCCAGCACCCATGTAGGAGGCCCAGAAAAAACTCCTGGCTTCAGTCCAGCCCAGTGCGGGCAGTTGTAGCCATTTGGGAAATGAATCAGCAGATGGAAGACACCCTCCCACCCCTGCCTCTCCCTCTCTGTAATTCTGCCTTCCAAATATGTAAAGAAATCTTTAAAAAAAAAAAAATGAACAGCGGGTAGCTTATCTCTAGCAGGCAGGATAAATATTGTCTTCCTCTTTGTCTAACGGTATTTTAATTACTGTGTATTGCTTTCATA